GTTCTTGAAGTTAAATATGATTTTCAACTTCCAGTCTTAAAGGTTATGGGCTGACACGTCTAGCTATTGGTATTTCACCTTAAAAGTTGGATAGTCATGTTGAAAAATGAAAAAATAGTATGCAATGCCAGAGTTTCCTTTGCTCACCAAAGATTGTGTCCTTGAAGATGAGGAAGTTCTTGTCTTCTGAAGTGACATAATCTGCATTTGTCAAAAACCAAGTCCTCTGCTTGTCACTAACATTTAATTTCCATGGCAGCCTAGGTAATTCTTGTTCTGGGAGATGAAGTAAGGTGATCTGGAGCCCTTCCTGAGAACTCATCTCTGCTCTGAGGTCCACGTGTTCGAAGTGGTAAAACAGTCACAATACTGTAAAAGTAAATCTTTCATTAAATGATAGGGCTCCTTCAAAGAGAGTAATTCTCTTATTTTCCTCATACACCTACACCGAGTGTGACTAATGTCATTGTGACTGTGAGCCCTTAAATAAGAAGTGGAATTATAGAAGTAGGTCTCATGGCACTCCTAGATACATAGCAGGAAACTTGTACCTTGTCCCGTGGGTGAGAATAGTACGCTAAATTTATTACATCCGGTAGTTGGAAGTAATCAAGACAGTAGGATTCTCTTTCATGTGATGCATGCAAGTCCTTATGTGGATTTTTACTTTAAACACATGCCATTTTCAGTGTGTTGTCTGTATTTTCACTTTGGAGTAGCATTGGCAGCATTTGATGCTTTGCTCCATGTAGCTTTGTAAAAATATCACCCAGTATTGCTAACTCATTTATAAAATAAAATGGGGACCTCCTTGCACTTATTTTTTCTCTTTTGGTCTGTCTTTCTGACTTTGAAATTCTTATCTGCTATGTGCGACCTTGTGTCCTTTCCATGCAAAATACAGTGCCCAAAATATCCTGTGTTGGCATACTTTTAATCTAAAGTGCTCATAATTGCCAGCAGTAGCTTCCTTTAAATTATTTACAGGCTTTTCACTCGAGTGTCCCATAGGTGATTGGGTTTTTATCCTGTGCAGTGCTGTGCAAAAATCTTAGCAAACAAAAAATTTCCACTTGCACTAATAGAGGTATTGCATCTATTTGACGCTCGTTTTGAAGATTCAGGAAGATTAAGGGCAGGGAAATACATTAAGGATAACTAATTCTGTGATGAAAAGGTCATACTTCATTGCCTTAGCTTTTTTAAATGCTGCATTTCCCATGCTTTATGGAAGTTGACCTTCTTTCCTTTAAAAAGCAAATTCTGAAGGAATCTGACTGCAAGATTAAAATGTCAGCTTTCTGTTTTCATTGTCCTCCTATTCATAAGTTGTAAACATACAACTGTAGAACTCATGTTTTTGTGTTGAGCATTTCTTCATTGATTAAGTAATTTCTTTATGACATTGCAAATAAATATAATTTATAGTGTTCTCAAGGGAACATATGTTCTGATATCTCAGGATAAACATGAGAATTATAATACTATTTCTGCACCAGAACTGCATGATACAAAACCAAGATATTCTGGGCCACAGGTTAAGTGGTCTCTATCCTCTTGAGAATGTTTTCTGTCAGAGCAGGCTGATTTTAGTGGTATAGAAAGTCTCTTGTATCTGTACTTTGTGTTTACTCATATGCTTATTGGAGATGTGCATTTTCCTTGTAAGAGTGTGGCATTAGTACCTGAAAGCAAAGGGAGCAAAGCAAAGCATGTGAGTGATAATCCCAGGTACAAAGTATGTGGAAATTAGGTAAATGTGGTAGATTTCAAATCAGATATGGACGTCTGCCAGTGTGCCAAACGCTGAATGAAGAGGAGCAGGATAGTGTTTTGCACTTGTGTTCCCCACTTCACTGTTAACGAAGAACATGAAATTAACTCTCCTCAGCCCTAGTGAGGCACATCTGGAGTGCTGTGTCCAGTCCTGGGCTCCTCAGGACAGGAGGGACATGGAGCTCCTGGAGCGGGTCCAGCAGAGGCTGCAGAGATGATTCAGGGACTGGAGCATCTGCCTGAGGAGGAAAGGCTGAGGGAGCTGGGGCTGTTCAGCCTCCAGAGGAGACACTGAGAGGGGACCTCATCCATGTGTGTCAGTGTGTGCAGGGAGGGGGCAGAGGATGGACCAGGCTCTGCTCGGGGGTGCCCAACAGTGGGACAAGAGGCCTCGGGCAGGAACTGATGCCCAGGAAGTTCCATCTGGACATGAGGAAGAACTTCTTTGCTATGAACCAAGCACTGGAACAGATTGCCCAGAGAGGGTGTAGAGCCTCCCTGACTGGAGATATTCCAGAACCATCTGGACATAATCCTGTGCCATGTGCTCTGGGATGACCCTGCTTGAGCAGAGAGATGGGACCAGATGATCCACTGTTGTCCCTTCCAGCCTGATCCATCCTGTGATTCTGTAACAGAGTGTATGTGTTGAATTAACACATACAGTAGTGACTGGTGTTTAAAAACTGCATATGGAGAAGATGGCTTCCCTTCTTTTGTTCTGATTGAACACTGAAAGTTGGCAACAGCACGGTGGGGTTTGTCTGAAGACCTCTGGAAGCACTGCCATAAGACAGCATTTGGGTCTTCTTGTTTTCTCAACTCAGAAGCAAGTAGTGACAAGTCTGCAGTAGATGGTAGGTCCCTGGTGAAGTCAGAAGAATGGGGTGACAGTCTTGCACTGAGCATTCTGGAAGGTAACCTGGCAGGTTTGTCAAGACAGCAATGAGATCTCTAATGTCAGTGAAGGGGACTCTTTCTGGGTCTCCCTCCTTCCCCTGGAGGAACCACATTCTAGCAGAATCCACACGGAACTTAGTCATTTTAAATAAGTATAAGGTCATGTGTCAGAAAGGTAAGTTATTCTTCATTCCTTCAGGTACTTTGGAGATACTGTTAAAGGTAGGGTCTTTGTGCTGTGGGGATTTCTCAGCTCTCTGTTCTCCCTTAATCAGTATTTAGAGGCCTAGTGCTCTGAATATTTGGGATCTCTGCTTTCCAATATCACTGGTTACTTGAGGCAAGTACTTTGTGTTAGATGGCTACTCATTAGGATGGGGAGTAGAGCCCTTTCCTATTTTATAAGGGTGAGGTGAGGATAAATACTGTGTTTTCAGAGCTGAAACAGTGTGGAATTGAGTCTTGCAATGTGGCCCACTGAGCAAGGGGCATGGTACGTTCCTGTTCCAAATATGGCTTTGTACAAAAGCAAAGGTTGCCAAGGAGAGCATAATTAAACAGTGCTGCACAGGAAACACAGAATATTTTTACTATTCAAGACTACTTAGAAAAGGTGGTTAAGTTCAAATCCATTAGGCTGGGTGGGATTTGTGCTGGGATGCTGGAAGTCACAGATCATGCAATTGCAATTCTGCAGTTGCAATTCTCTGATAAAAAAAGAATAGTAGAGAGGTCTCTGGTGACTAGGGAAGGGCTATCATTATAACCATCTTTACGAAGAGAAAGAAGAGTAGTTCAGGAAACTTTAGGCCAGTCAGCCTTCCACAATCCCCGGAAATATTATTTATCATATTTGTTTCCAAATGTGAAGAGAATGAGAAAGTAATCATTGTCTTGCTTAGCCACTTTCAAATTCTCTGCTCTTTTGGCACGCCTTGGGAATAAATGCAATGTTCACATGACCATAGTAACCCAACTAATTTGTATTTTGTTTGAATTATTTATTGAGCATTACATCTATTGTAGCCATTACGTCTCTCTTCGTAGGTGTTCCGGGAGCTGCAGAAATGTATAGAAATCTGTTTTGCAAATTAATTTGTCAAAAATAAAAGAGAGAGGTAAGAAAATCAGCTGTCAAAATCATAATAGATCTATTTTCTCAGATCAGTGTTGATGATTGCCTGTTTTCAACTGAATTGATAATTGTTTTAGATCTGTGATTGAGTGTGAGTGCTGCAAGATTTAATTGAAGAAACCAACTCAGGGAAAGGGGGAAAAGTAGTCCACTAAAAGCCAGGATAATTGGGAGTATGATTTTATCAGTAATCCGAGGTAGGAGTGCAGACAGAATGGGGTCAACCTTTGACAAGACAGAAAGAAACACCCAAAGTCCTGGTTCCCCAAACCCACAGCCCAAGTCCCATTGCCAGAAGCCTGTGGGTGGGAATTTCGGTGTACCCTGGGCACCAGCCCTCCCTTGAGGCTGGCCAGGAAAAGGTGTTGCAATCGTATGTTGGTCATCCTTTGTGGTTTATCTGGCTCCCAGATAAACACTGATGTCAGCTACATCAGGGTAGGAACATGCAGATGTGCCTATATCACTTCAGGGCTGATTCCAGTCCCAAACCAGTTTTATTTCTTTCACTTAATGCCTGAGCCAAGAAACCCTGCGGAGTTGAGTCAAGCCAGTTTAAGGGGGATCAGATCTCATTTAGGTTGCTTGGGATTATATAGAGAACAGGAAAAAAAATGCCAACCCTCTAAAGATTTTATGCTCTTAATCCAGGAGAAGTGGGCCTGGAAAAGCTTGGGTTTAAACTCTTGACTTTAGCTGATGTAAGCTGAGTCAAGGTACTACACCAAACTAAAGCTTAATTAACATGTGGTCATGGCCTGCCTTGCATTTCTTCATTCAGTGTATTTCTGTGAAATGCTTTTCCATACTACGCCTGTGTGATTAAAATAGGCATTACTGTTGATTTATTGCACTCTTTTTTGGTGGAGTGCTATGCCATAAAAATAATGCCATGTAGAAATCCTGCTCTGAGTAGATGTGGATTTCCTTCCTATGGTTGGTATTGCCATAACAACACTTCCCTCCAAACCATGACTGTAATTGCGAAAGTTGCCATTGATCTTATATGTGGTAATTATACCTGTATTTAGCAATGGAACTCCTAATGTCGAATGAAATAAATACTTGCTTTTTATTCCTAGTCATTCCCCTCCAAGCTTTGATCTTCATTTCAGCAAAATAATTTTATTTTTAGGAAATTATCGTTTTTCAGTAATTTGTTGCTAGATGTGAAGACAGTTTTTCACTCTCTGGATTTAAAATGTCTATTGGAGCTTAGTTTAAGCATCAGCATTCACTGTGGCAGCATTACTGGAAAGGTTCTTGGTAGGAACATCTCTGCCTCTGCTGGATAAATTTTCACAAGGGAATAATTAGGACCTAGTCTAGATCTCAGAGGAGACAAATATGAAAAAAGGAAATTATTTACATATATTTCAGAAAGAATATGTTCCTGACAAACATTTGTTGTGTAAATCTTACTATTTATGTAACGAGGATATGTGTATGTTCGTATTTGTTTTCAATCCAGAAGTAGGAGCAGCAGCCAGGGAGTAAGTGTGTACACAAAAGCTCTCGAAGTAGAGAGTGTAGGAAGCAAATCACCACCAAAAGATCACATTTTTTTCTGGTGATCTTCACTGGGCCTTCCAGATGTTCTTATTTAGGGCCTGGGCAGTGCTAACTTCGCTGAGAAATGTCTGTTTTCTCGGGGAGTTCAGTACTGCAGTGTCAACACAAACTGAGTGTGTGGAATGGAGCAACCCTGGCGAAACAAGTGGTGCCGTGGAACAGCCTCTGTGGCACCGAGGGCTTTGCTCGGCTCTCTGTTTCACACAGAGCGCGCTGGTTCCTGTGGGCTCCCTCGCTGCAGAGCCCTGCTGAGGCGCCTCCTCAGCCCCACAGGGCCAGTGATACCCCAAAAGCAGCTTTGCAGCTTGTCCCTGCTGTCTGAGCCATGAGTTTTCTGCCAGCTGGGGAGTTTCCACACTATGAGGCCCGAGAGGGTGAAGTGCAGCATGGTTGGTCTGGGTCCCGGGGGCTGCAGTAACTTGGGGCTGTGTCTGGTCTGGCGCTGCATTCAGGCAGGTGTCTTTCAGTAGGTCAGAGATGGGGCAGATCAGTCACTTGAGGTGGCAGCCTGTGTCTGGCAGGGTTTGCCTGTTCATTCATGCTGCCTCTCCTGCTGTTTGGGAGACCCTGTGCTGCTGTCCCTAATATGCTTTTTACCTTTCTCTTGGATATGCTGCCTGAAAGTGAACTGTATTTAAATGGAGCCAGCCAATCTCATTGTTAAAAATGCATAAACCCACAAACCCCTAGGAATTAGAATGTATAAAACTTATTCTGATTAAACCTCGTGGATTATGCAAGAGCATTTATGCAATGAACTTAAAAACTACAGAGTGACAGCAGCCAAGGTAAGAGTGTAATCAATCACGTGTAATCACATTTTGATCTAGAAGCTGAGGGGTCGTTGTTATGAAAACAAAAATATAAATCAGTTTGAATTCCTTGGATATGATCTGCTGTTTCTTTTCTGAGCAGCCCAGCCAGCAAATCCCAGCTGGGTTTGCAGTAATGAGTGATAGGCACGTAGTTTTGAAATAAATTGTAACTTTACCAGGATATCTTGGTTCTGTTTGTCTTGTAATATAGGGCTTGTTCATTTTAAATTCCCCCTTTGTGCTTAGACTTTGGACCGGGTTTTATTTGAGAGATTCAAGGCTCTTAAGCCGTAATGTAAATACAGTTTAGTGAAGGACCTTTGCCTCCACAGAATAGATGAGAAGTGTTTCTGGGCCCCTTGTACCATAGTCATGCTGCTAATATGATCCCACCCCTGCTCTCTGTTTTCAGTGAGTTCTGAGAACAGACTCGTCTAAACCTCAGGCTGTAACTTACTTGTCCCTCTCCTAAAATTGCCCCTGCAGAAGAGCCCTTCATACCTCTGTCTTTGTGTGCTTGACATCCGAGACCATAAATTAAAAAGAGATTGTTGTTATGCCATGAAGACACGTAGGGTAGAAGTAAAATCACTTGTGTCGCTGGAGAGGAGAGGGAGCGCAGCATATGGCTAATGCTTTATCATCAGGGAGCATCACATTGCACAGATGAGTTTTTTGGACCTGAACATGTTTAAAATGAAGCTGGTTGCTGTGTGACAGCAGCAACACTGTGTGGACATCTCAGAGTTGTCAGAAACACCCCAATGTCTCTAAATCTTGTAGTTAAGCTGGTTACAAGCTGGTTATTCCTGGAGCCAGCAGGATCTTTATATATGTGTTTGTATACACTGTTCATAATGGAAATTTTATATGAATACCAGCATGAGATTACAAAGTATAACACAGCGTTGGTAGGCAAAAATTTCTATGTGCAAAAACATACCTAAAAGTGGGTCCCAAAGGCAGTGAGCCACCTGTCACAACAGGTCTGTTGAATCTCGTGCTTCATGTGTAAGACTCGGTCCATTGGCCTCTCTTCCCTAAAATTCTGTGTTTGTGGATGGCTTCTCTCCAGCTCCAGGCTGCTGCTCATGGCGAGCTGGTAGAGCTGGAGAGGCATCATTCCATGGGACTGTGCTGCAAGCCAGGTTTTGCCTCCCTGCAGAGCCTACCTGTGAGATGATGGATATGGAATGTTTGCTTTCCTCTTGACCTGAAAACTTAACATGTGCCCCACAGGACCCTGACATATCACAGATTTCCCCAATGCTAGTGCAGAGTCTGTCTTTCCCGTTGGTGTGGGATAACCTGGATCGTGTCATTTAATATTTTGTTATTATTTTTAGGAGTAACAGATCAGATCTGCAGTGGAAGTTCAGCAGAATGAATGATCTGCATTGGTTTATGGTAACAGAAGATTTTTGGTTTAGTTTTTTCACAGTTAAAAAAAGGTGTTCAAGTAAACTACAGTTGCAGAGGACTTGGTAACCAGACTGCAGAAATCTCTTTTGTGCATCAGTGTGGGGTAACTTAGGGGATCAAAAAAGTGTCAGGATTTGTTCTGGTTTCCTAGTAGAGAATACAGCATTTATAACTTGGATATCATGACCATAGCAACATTCTTTCTAAGCCCTTAACTGGTACTTCAGAAGATGGGGCTGTATATGTAACTTCTGCTCTGCTCGCCACCTTTCTCGGTCATGAGTTCTGACCTTGTCAAGTGGATTGTTTTCATAACTGCTAAGCAACAGCAAAAACCCAAACCACAAAGCATTATTAGAGCAGCAATCTGTGTTTCTGTGACCTCCCACCATGAGACAGAGTCAGGCTGCACACGCTGCAAGCTCAACAAGCTGCAGAAACACAACTTGGCAAAGTTTGGTTTTCCATTTTATACCATCTTACTAAATCTCCTAATTGTGAAGGCAGTCAGGGTGTTTTTATGAGCCAGACTAATTCAAAAGCTCAGTAAAGGTAGCATGCTTTCCTACCTCATAGTTACATGGATAGATCCAGTGCCTCAAAAGTGCCTTGCATTTCCTCCAAGTGCCTGAGGAAAATAGCTCCTGGATGCTACAAACTGGAAGGAAAATTCTGGATATAAGTTTATTAAAGACTTAAGTGATTGGTTTTCATTCAGGTATTAAACTTGTCAACTGTAGTAGTTTGGAGTTTTTTTAAGTTGTTGAAAATACTTCATTTTCTTGCTTAAATAAGTGTATCAAGTGCTGTGTAAATACAACTGGGCAGTGAACTGTCACTTTTTAAATTTGCTAACTGTAAATTTAGCTTTATTTAATGAATCCTATAAACTGAGCAGATGAGTTGGACCTTGGAACCCTTCCTCTGAGCCTGACTCATAGACATTTTGATTTAGCTTCAGGAACGGTTCTCCTTGGATTCTGTTATCCTCAAGTGACACTAGTTTTGCCAAGCTTGGCTGTTCAGGAAACATAAATCATGTCCTCAAAAATAATGAGAAAGTACTGAATAAGAAAACAATAGGACAAATGAGCAAATCTGTTTGAATTCATAAGCTTCAGTCTTCTCACTGCAGTAACAGAGGTTACACGGGAATTCTGCTCTTATAATCAGGGAGTCCGGGAAGTGGCTGTTCCACACAGGACTAGTCTGGTATTACTAAGGACAGGGATATTCTAATATGGACATAGTCTATAACAGATTTTAGGTATAGCTAAATATGTTATGTTATAATATGTTATATGTTAAATATGTTATAAATATGTTGTGTTGGATGATGTCTACTGGTTCTTCAGTATTGTGCAACTTTCTCGGTACATAAGCTGTCAGTTCATTTTGCTTATAAGCAGGGCAACGTTTCTTTCTTTTACTTAGTTGAGGGAAAAAGCCACTGAAGTCACATAATGATTAATTTACTGAAAAAATTGTTATGCTATGGGTACAAAATTTGCCAGAAAATGTAATGCTTTTGATCTTCTGGGTTATTCTTGATGTGAAATACAATCAGAGGTGACCCAAAAAGGTCAGAACGAGGTTCAGCTGAACTCTGTATGGTTTTCATTTTGATCTTTCTGGTTTGGTTGATTTGGGAAAACTTGAGCCCCTTTTTTTTGGAACACAGTGCTGGTTTGAACTCAAAGCTTTTACCGTAACACTGATTTTTTGGTGGTATGCTCCTCAGACTTCGGTTTCTTGTATCTTAGAAGTAGAAAGGGATGAGAAGAGAACCAGCTGGTTCATGCGTGAGCAAGAATTTTAATTTATCAGTCTTCTTACAACCCCTTGTTTTCCTTAGTTTTCATTTTGAGCTTGTCTCTTGAATGTTGCAAGAGATGGAAAGGGAAATATAACAAGTTTTACTCAGCCTCATGTAACAATCACCTATAAACTTCAGGTTTAAGTAGTGTATGTCTAAACACCTTTTAGAAAATTTGGTCTAGGTAGTTAACATTTCAAAGTGAATTAACTTTATGTGGCTTCTAGTGTGAGACTGTAGGCATTGTGCAGTTTTATTTTCTAATAAACACTATTTAGCTGCTGGTGATTTAATCTTAGTTAATCTCACAGCTGCTAGAATAATGCATTTCAACACAGTCACACTGAACGTTAAAGTTAAGATCTAGCAATCCTATAGGTAAGCATCTCCTGAGGGGTTCGTTTTGTTGTTTGGGTTTTTTTTCCTCTTGAAAAGGGAATGTTTATTGTCTCTGTTCCAAGGACTTCCATATCTAGTGTGTAGTGTTTTGATTTATAGACCAATTTATTTGCATTTTCTTTTTCATTAAAAGCATCATGGAGTGTAATGGTTTTTAGTTGCAAATTTGTACCAGCGTGTAGTGCTGCAATCTCTGTTTTGACTATTTGCCACAACCCAAGTGAAGTGAAATGTTTTGGAACATCTTGACTTTGCTGTCTGACAAGTTTCCTCTAAGAGAAAGCAGATGGGTGTTCATCAACAGGAAAAGAAGGGATGAAAGTGTGGAATGCACAACAACAACAACCCTGCAAGTGACACTCAAAATGAATGTCAGCGATGTTCTTTTCATGCAGACTTGTGCAGGTACTTACAGTCTATACCTGATTGTGAAGTGCAAAGGTGCTCAGAAGTGAGCAGAAGCTCACTCCAAGTGTGAATTATCATAGGTATTTTATTTATTAATATTTTACATTTAAGCATCTTGGGCTTTTGATTATTCCGTGTCTTCTGTTTACACCTGTGATTCATATTCAGGTAAAGTACTGTTGTCTAAACTCTGGCCTGCAGTCGGGAGGCCTGGAGACACACCATCTATAACGCTGCGGATGCTTTTGAAAAAACACACAGGATCACCCTTGAGGAGAAAAGACAACGCAGAAAGAATCGTGCCTTGCAGAATATACCACCTAAGGAGTCTTTCTGCTGTGCCTTTTGCAACTGGACATGCCTGTCTCGTATTGGCCTTTTTAGCCACCAGCGTGCTTGTAACAAACATGGGTAGAGCCCTTCCCAAATCTTCGTTCGTGAAGCCCAGCCATGATGAAGAAACTGTTGTCTAAACAGGTACATATAATTCTAAATCTCTCTGAACTGTAGCCTTTTAGAACTTTATAATTTGTTTCCATTTGAAAGAAATGCTTCAGATGCTGCCCTGAACAGGAACACTCTCTAAATTCGTGGATTTAATGAGGTCATCCTGTCTTATTCTTTGCTATGTTATGGCATGCAGTATGTCCTTGTAATTCTCTTACTAGCTCATTCATTATGAAACTCTAGCAATGATTTTTCAGATGAGGCCAATAAAATTAGACCAATTTGTAGTTTATGAAGTGTAGTTGAGCGAGGAGAAAGTATGTGCCAAAAACGAGTGTTATGAAATTTCTCTATAATTGTCTTGAAGAGGTTTCCTAACAACACAGTCATTTCTGTAATGGTCTTTTAAACTCTTCATGCTCATAGAAAGCTTTAAAAATTATGCTCTAGCATGAATTCTAGATGTAAGAAATTCAGATGCATTGTTTCTTTTAAAAGAAATGAGTTCAGGAAATAGTACTTGAAGTGGAAAGGCACCCTGACAGTTGAGGAGTATTTACACAAGCTGTGCATAATGTCACTTATCTTAAAGATGATTGCAGTCTGCCCAGAAATAATTAAAGAACATGCACTTTCATGCTGGCTAAGGGATGCTATGGCTTTGATGCAGCAGCTGTGGAAATTCAGTACTACTCAAACTATAGACCATGAGCACCCATTTCAGCAGACTTAGGGCTGTATCCCCATATGAATTGCCTTATTTCCTCATCTTTTGCTTATGTGAGCTTTTATGAGTGCTAAGCTTACAACTGCATCATGAACTTGGAAAAATCCTTCCACTTTATGCCCCGAGGTTATCACCAGCATTCCTGAGATGAGCTTGCTGCTGCTGCTCATCCCTTTGTTTCTGCTGTGATTTTCCAGTGGCAGCAGAGTTACCCTGGTGATGAGGTTTTTCTGGTTGGTTTGGGTTTACTCTAATAAAGGGTATACTGTTACGTAGGGTATGGTCTATAGCATATTTGAATTTGGTAACCTGGTGTTTGGGAAGTTTGGAAGACTTTTCAAAGAACATTAATGTAGAGGAGATACATATGCATAATTTTTTTTCCTGTAATTGTGGTCAGCAGCGTACCTAAATAAAACCAGAAAACCTGTGTTTCACTCCCAGAGGAGTGACACACACTGTACCCTAAAGTACTGAAAACAGCGTCATTAATTACAAAATTATGTATCTTGAGTGAGTCTCTGGTGAACTATTGACTCTCCTCTGTTGAATTGTGGCTGTACTAACACCACTCAGCTGTCCTTGCTAATTTGCAGTTAAACCTAGTTTCGGATGTGGTTTGCTTTGGGGTTTTTTGGTGGTTGGTTTTTCTTCCCTTGCCAAACAGCAGATTAAAGCAAAACCGCTTTTTGGCCCAGTTGTGCAAAACATGCTTCAGTGTGATCCGAGTCAAATAGATGCTTGACAGCCAAGAGGAGCTCCACAGCTCTGTGCCTGCGGAGATGGTAAACTTTGGGTGCCACAGATGATGTTGTGGAATGGGTGTTAAAAGCAAACAGCTTCCACTGAGCAGTTCCCTCCAAGGCAAAAGTTAAGGCATTGTGAGAAGATGCCTTCCAGTTGTGCCCTAAAAATCCTACCAGAGCATGAGCTGCTCTTCTCCTAAGCCACTGCAGATCTTTGCAGCTATTTCTGGATGTGGCTCTGAGACAAGAGAGGAACTGGGAGGGTCGAGAGCATCAGTTGTGCTCCTGTCGGCAGCATCGTCTGTCACTGAGTGCTGGAAGCTGAGGCTCAACCCAGAGTGGTTGGCAGGAAGCAGAGCAGCTTGTGAGGAGCTGCCTGTGCCAAGAAGTGATTCTTTCTTTTGAGGTTTGGGTAGGGATGCAGCTCCTGGAGGGCAGTGCTGCTGACATGGCGAATACCAAACTGCTACTCAGAGCTGAACAGTTGATATAAATGAGAGATGAGAGCGCAGTGCTTTGCAGAATCCACGTGCTTAGCTCTCAGAGCTGTTTTGGAGAAGATAAGAAAACAGAGAAAGACTGAAGATACCACTTCCACTAAGCTATATGTCTGTATCTTTTAGAATTAAAACTTCACTAGACTGTAAAAGGCCCTCACAACCTGGTAAATGTGCATTTGGAAATTGGAAAGGGCAGCACCCTCTCCATAATTCCTAACTGGGTTTGAAGCTGAGCACTACTGTATCATTTCTGTGATTCATGAGAACAGCTAAAACCTAATAACATTATGGAACATAGTCATATCTCTCACGGGCTCCCTTTCAGACAACTGAACACTTTTTTACAGCTACTGTTAAAAATTCGTTTCACAAGTCAGGCTTTGGATAGAGATAGAAAAGTTAGGAACTCGTATTTTACTAATTCTAAATGGAACTGTGCAGAAGGAAATAGGAAACTTAGAAAAGTCAGTTTGCAGGCTGGCTTGAAGAGAATACAATAACTTGGTTTGTCATTCTGTCTACCTGATTTTTAACTCTGAACCGTTTCTGAATTTATAAACATCAGATGATTTCTTGTCATACATTTCATTTGTCCAAGACCCGCCCCCTGTAAGTGCCAGGGAGAATCAAAACAACCACTTCGACTTCAAAGTCACTGTTACTCAAAATGGGGCCTTTGAATGAGTGTTTTGACACTTGGCCAGGCACCCAGGCACTGTGTTTTACAGCCCAGGCCAGTTACATTTACATATACGGCAAACGGAGATCTGATAATCAGATCTGGGTGGAAAAATTCCACTAAAACAAGTCTTGCAAGTGTTCTGCTCTGGAACATTTCGACCTGTCTCCGAAGGATCCGCAGCCCCCGAACACTGTCGCTCTGTGGGTGGCACTGGCATCGCCTGCCCCTGGACACTGGGCAGTTTGTCATGGAGAGGGGAAGGGACAAAACCGTGGGAGGCTGTGACCTCAGCCCTCGAGGCTGCAAACATTCCCCTCACCAGGGGTGATGGAGCAGACAGCTGGGAGGGTCCTTCCTGAGGATCCTCGTCTGGCGTATTGAGACATTTGTGGGTTTTTCTTGGGAGGGGCAGACTGAGTCAAAAACTGAAATTGCAGGTATTTTGCATAATTTAGGAAGGGGGTTTTTTGGTGTTATTGTTGTCCATTTTAAAAAAAAATTTCTTTGAAAGGGTTGTGGACGTTGTTTTAATCCTGGATCCATGCGTCAGTCTTCCTGGAAGGGCACTGCAGCCAAGAGCTGCAGGGTCATTCCTACATCTTGCTGTGAATATACAGGAGCATTTTTGAATACAAATACTGATAAAAATAGTAATTACAAATAATCAGAAGAGTCTTCCCCTAAGAATTACTGACCGTCGACCTACAGGAGCACAGTAATGCTACAAACGAGCACTGAACAGAGCATCTGGGGTCCCCAGCACAGAAACAACATTGATCTTTTGGAGCAAGTCCAGAGGAGGCCACCAAGGTGATCAGAGGGATGGAGCAGCTCTGCTGTGAGGAAAGGCTGAGAGAATTGGGATTGTTCATCCTGGAGAACAGAAGGCTTTGGGGTGACCTAATTGAGACCTTGCAGCACCTGAAGGGAGCCCACAAGAGAGATTGAGAAACTATTTCCAAGGGCCTGGAGTGACAGGACAAGGAGGAATGGCTTCACACTGACAGAGAGTAGTGTTAGATTGAATACTGGAAAAAAATTCTTCCCTGTGAGGGTGGTGAGGCCCTGGCACAGGTTACCCAGAGAAGTTGGTGCTGCCTCATCCCTGGAAGTGTTCAAGGCCAGGCTGGATAGGGCTTGGAGCAACTTGATCTAGTGGAAGGTATTCCTACCCATGACAGGGGGGTTGGAATGAGATGATAAAATTTTAAGATCCCTTCCAACCCAAACCATTCCATGGTTCTATGACCATATAATGTGTATGTGCCCCTGCTTGTAAGTTAAACAACTCTTTCCTAATTTGTTTTAACATCTGTAAGAGGATAGAAGGTGGGTTTTTTTTACAGCCCTACCAGGCTGCTAACCCGTGTTTTTAACTCTAAAGGGTTTTAGCTCAGTTGAACAATTGTTAGAATTAATGGTCATTGGAATTAGGGATAAATGTACCACTTAAGCACAGTGTAATCATGACTGTGTGTTCAGGCTGACTTACAACTTTTGTCTTCTTTACAGTGGTCATGCAATTTGGCCCATACTGCTTTGTCTCGCTTTTTTAAAAGCCTGATAACACTTTTAGTTGTCCCATTATCCTCCCATGTTTTACCCTCTAGCAGGTCTTAGGGATGGAAATGTACTTGCTGCAAAATCAAAGGCGAATAAACTAGAAAAGGTTTATGCACATTTTTTCGTTTGGGTTTGTTTCATATTTGTCTTGTGTTTCCTAAAGTATTTTATTTACTTATTTATTAAGGGATTATTTTGTTTGCACTGGTAAGCATAAGAAATGATCAACAGGAATGCCCTCTTTTACCATCTTTTGAAAAATTTTTTACCATAGAAAGAAGGAAAGAAGAGAAGGAATATCTTTTCTTTTGGTCCCAGACATCATGCAGTAAGAACTGTCTCACAGCTTCTGCCAGACATGGTATTTTACCTTCTGAAAAAAGCGGTGCAAAGCAGTAATTCTTAATGTGTATGCAGCATCCCAGCATGACAGACTTAATAGAAACAGACCACATGTGACAACAGCAACACCACAGGAACTTCATCTTGTGTCTCAGTGGTGGTAATACATCAAGGTTGTTGTGACTTCTCTCTCAGCCTGAAAAGATAACTGTGTTTAAGGGAAGCTGTTTTTTTGGGGGGGGGGTTGGGTGGGAGGTTCTTTCATCTTGAGGTCTGGTTTTATTTTATATTTCTTTCTAAACTGTACATCTACCAAAATAAAAAAAAAAAAAAAAGGAGAGCATGAAAGCTTCAAGGGGTGAGGCTTAGTTTAGATAAGAGTATGTAGCAGTGATAACATGAGAGCACTCCTAAATTACAACATCAAACCCAAGGGCAAAGACATGGGAAATTCAAACAAGTACCAAGAACTTGTCATCCACTCAATTTACTGGCTGTTTTATGTGTTTCATATTGCCCCAAGCTAGATTGACATGGAAGAGAGCAGAAGGTACCAGCATCTATAAATTCTTACTCTCCCTGCCTTCCAGTCTCAACACCTGGTGTGGTGCACAGTATGAATCTGTTCCTTTCCCAAGCAGTAAATTGATCAAATTGGCATAAGCAGCATTTGTGAACTTTTTTTCTTTTTTTTGATTTGTGAAACTTAAAATACATTCATCTTCATGTATTCTTTCTAGATTTTGGCAGTGATTCATAGACCCCCCCAGGAGTGGTCTTTGGTCACAGTCTGGGGCACCTGGATCAGTGGCAGAAAATCAGGAAAGAGATGTCAGGAGAGTGTTTGTTTTCTGCTAATTTGATAGGGTCAAGCTGAGAACATCTTTATTGTTAGCTATGCAGAGTGACTTCAAGCAGAGAAAACCAAGCAGCTGCTCCTTTTCCTGGCTTGTCCTTCAGAGCCACTGATTTCACAGGTCAAAGGCTACCTGGAGTTTTATTGTCCTTAACGTGCAGGATGTGCACATAGCAAATACAGTTGCTGGAGATGGTAAGAATTAACTGTTTCAGGCACCTATGGCTCTTTTAAACTGGAGAGCTAAACTAAGTTTGTTTTCCTTAGTAGCTGCAGTACCTCTGTGAAAGCTGAAAACTAGAAAGACAGGGAGAGCTGGAGGCAGTCGCTGAATGCTCTTTTAAGATGTTTCCCAGCAATACCATGGAAGAGTGGGAAGCTTAACTAGAAGTTGTTAAAAAGTTGTAAATCTTCCTTAAAAATAACTCTTAATGTGACTTCCTAATTCTGCCTGTCCAGGTACAAGCATTGGAAGCATTTCAAGGTATCTGAGAAATGGAAAGAATCCTGTTGTGATTGGCTTTTTATATAATGCCATATTTTCCATAAATGAGATTTACAGGAAGTTTTTCCTTTGCTCCCCCCTTCCCCACAATGTCCTAAAATAAGCAGAATTGTGTTATAGATTGTTAGCTTGTGCCTCTTCTTTTTTTTTTAATAGAAGATGATGAATAATTTTTTCATTTCTATGCATGTATCCCTACTAGTAAAAGAAGATTACAAATTCATGATATTTACAGGTATGCTTTTTTCCCCCTAGGTGGCTGTTATAAAAGCTCATGTGATATTGTGTCACACTGGGTGTGTCAAATATGTACATACAATTAGTTACAAAACTGCCATACATAAATCATTGTTCCTGTTAAAAGGTATTAAGTAGAGCTAATTGGAATGTATTTTCTTCCAGATTTGCATACTTTCACTGTCAAAATGTCCTTCTTTCCAGGTACTCTTTGAACAGTTGGGCTTTTCCAATCAAGAGCTGTGTCCTTGCTTTGTGTTGGTGCAGACCTAAAAGATGGGTCCTGGGCCCATGGAGCAATTTAGTGATGCAAATTGGAAAATAGGGTTTTCTGTAGCTTTCTGCACCAAGCAAGTCAAGTTTCTGAAATAGATTAACAGAACGGAAAGCACTGTTTCTCTGAAGAAAAACGGGTTGTTGTTTCCTGGCAGCCATAATGTCACCTCCTTGGTTTTTGAATTTTTTTGTGATGATTCTTAGCTGGGCTGAGAATTGCACCTTTTAAACCCTGGAAGGGATAGTTTCTCTCCTGTAAATGTAGCTCTAAAGAAATCGAAGTCTTAAATCACACAAAGGAAATTCCCTGACTCACAGTTATCTCCATTTGTTAGTCACTGAAGCCCAAATGCGTACAGAATACCAAACTGCATGAATACCAAGGGAAGCTTCTTAAATCACTGACAAAATTATTAGCGCTAAAGTTTTGGCTGTAAATTGTTTCTTCCAAGAGAGGCTAAAGGTTAAGGGTCTTCACTGGGAAAAAGCATATTTATGCTTAGCAAACACTGTGTGCACTTAGCCAACATCTTTCTGCTACTTTCTTTGTCCTTTTTTCTTAAAATACTGGTAGATACCTGTTAGTATAAAACCTCTGCCTGCAACCTATTTTCCATCTTCCTTTCCCACCTGATCAATTGAGTGGTAAGACTGTAATTAAGAACTAAGGTTGTAGGGGAAAAGGTTGTAAAGTGGGAAAGACTATGCATCTGGTATTAGATATCTCTAATCATAGAATCATAGAATCAACCGGGTTGGGAAAGACTTCTGAGATCATCAAGTCCAACCCTTGAATGAACCCCGCCGTGGTTACCAGCCCATGGCACTGATGCCACATCCAGTCTCATCTAAAAAACTTCAGAGACGGAGAATCCACCACTTCCCTGGGCAGCCCATTCCAGTGTCTGATCGCTCTCTCTGTAAAAAATTTCTTCCTAATATCCAACCTAAACCTGCCCTGGCACAGCTTAAGATGATGCCTTCTTGTCCTACTGCTGGTTGCCTGGAGAAGAGACCAACCCCCACCTGGGTTCCCCCTCCTGTCAGGGAGTTGTAGAGAGTGATGAGGTCTCTCCTGAGCCTCCTCCAGGCTCAACAACCCCAGCTCCCTCAGCCTCTCCTCATAGGACTTGTGTTCAAGTCCCTTCCCCAGCCTCGTTGCTCTCCTCTGGACCTGCTCCAGCCCCTCCATGTCCTTCCTGAACTGAGGGGCCCAGAACTGGACACAGCACTCCAGGTGTGACCTCACCAGCGCTGAGTACAGGGGAAGAATCACTTCCCTGGTCCTGCTGCCACACTGTTCCTGATCCAGGCCAGGATGCCACCTGGGCACACTGCTGGCTCATGTTCAGCTTCCTGTCAATCCCAACTCCCAGGTCCCTTTCTGCCTGGCTGCTCTCCAGCCACTCTGTCCCCAGCCTGTAGCACTGCAGGGGGTTGTTTTGGCC